CCTACCTGCCAAGGCCCAGCGTGTCCATAGCTGGGAATACCATGCAACACTTCTGGCCCGGGCTCAGGTAACCACTTTAACCCGCATGGTGAGGAGCTGGCTAGAGGAAAGGGGCCAGCCACCATAGAGAGAGTAGTGATTGATTGATGTGTGCGGTGCCTGCCTGCAGATGCTAAAAAGTATGTGGCCCAACAGGGACCCCAAAATGTAGAGGCCTTAATTGCACGTCTAGAGAACCACCAAGTGACTCTGAGCCTGAAGTGAATAAAACTCTACAATGTAAACCAAAGCAAGAGCGACATCCCCTTAAGTATACCGAAGCGGTTCCAGCGAGACCTCTAAAAACCCAAGGGAACTGGAAGGAGAGAGATGCCTCTGCGGAGTCCTGTGGCATTCCGATGCTTCACATGTGGAAGAGAGGGACATCTGGCCCGGGATTGTCCAGGCAGAGAGGAACTTATGCCCAACGCCAAGTACCTCAGATTCGTCAAGACGCCCATGCCACTTCCTTACCACCTGCTGGGCCCATGAGGGGGCAGCTGCCCCTAGGGTCCCGGTTAAGATCGGGGGCCAGGACACAGAAGCCCTTATAGACTCTGGGAGTGTGGTCACACTGATCAGACCAGAGTTTGCAGGACCTGTCCTGGGAAGAGAGATTACAATGTCTTGTATTCATGGGGACACCAGGAGTTACCCTACTGCAGAAGTAAGCATGGTCACCCCTCAGGGGCAGTTCCAGGTACAAGCAGGAGTTGTGGATCACTTACCAGTTCCTGTCCTGGTTGGCTGAGACTGCCAAGCCTTTTCTGCCTACTGGACGAGTAGATGTAAGTTCAACAGGGACGTGGGTAGACTTGAACCTCACCTGCTAATCCATCTATTTTGCCTACCTTTTTCAGATGTAATTGGATGTTACAAGGTGCAACTCAAGAGAGGAGCTACTTTAGTTCCATTTTCTCCCTGTTCCCTCTCCCCACTGTTCTAAAAAGAAAGTTAAGTTTTGCCTTGATTCAACCTCTGCCTCTTGCATCATTCCTTTCGTATTCTTGAGGTTACCCACCCAGTCCTGGGTCTAAAGGTGACAATATATTATATATTTATATTTCATAATCGTAAGTCATAATAGTGCAAACTATGCATTATATCACATGTAAGTACTTTCCTGTATCCATTCAAAGTTATTATGCAGTATAACTTAACATTACAATGCACATTTAGTAATTCCTCCGATATATTGATTGTGACTTGTGATAAGTATTCTGTTCTGTGATAGAAGTAGTCTTGCCCTAATCCTTTCCGTGTGAATTCTGGTTCTGTAAGCCTGCCGGTGTGTCATCAGATAAGTGGGATTATTGTGAATATGTGATGAGACTGTGAATGTGCTTCGCTGCTGTGAGTGCTTGTCTGATCTGGTGCTTTATTACCGATATGACTTTACTGTTAATATTCCACCAATGGATTGTTATTACTTTATATATAAAGTAAATGTTTCATTTCCATTTTTGATGGGGCTTTATGCATGCATATGGACCGTTAAAATATTTACAATTACTATTAAAGACCTCAGTGATACTGTTCATGACTGCTTGGCCAATTGTAGCAACTTGGGAAAGACTCTGTTTATGTCAGTGAGAGAGTTTTATTTATCATTTGTGTTGTACGTGATTGATTGTTTGTTTGTGATTTATTTTACTGTGAGTATGCGTGAGTATTTATTTCTTTAAGCCACATTTTGTTTGGTCTGGAGAGAAGCTGAACCACAAATGTCCACTGGTTTGAGAATCCATCAATCCATGCAGACCTCCGGCCATTGCATTACATACTCCTGTGGCCTTGGCTTAGTGTGAGAAAATATATTTATCATAGTTATAAATTTATTTTTATGTGGGGGGGAGAGAATTAAACTGTAATAAAAGGAGAGGATAGTGTGGGGGAAAAAACAGGAAATATTTAATATTCAGGAAAGTGTTTGGTACAGTCAAGTGCTATTTGGCATTTAGTCTGTATTTACTTGTATCTTTTTAAAAGGAGATATACATCCTTTTTAAAGTTGAAACCGTACAGTACAAAATAAGTGATTTGAAATGAATTTGGCATTGAAATGAATTTTAATGCTGGTTGCCCATAAACAACAAAACAGATTTGTCGGATGAGAGCGACTATTGGTTTGCATTTTTCTTACATTTGAAATCGCATCAAATCGGCATTCATTGACTTTTTTTTTTTTTTTCCTGTTACTTTTATGTGACTTCAGAAGCACTGATGTTATCATCAGCACTTTGAGCTGTTGCCTAGATTGATGTTCTGCATGCAAAGGCAGGTTTAAGAGCTGCAGCTCAAAATGTGACTGTGACTGATTCTAGCCTGTCAGTAAGAATGATTCAAAGGAAAGTGATTTGATCCCTGCAGGGGTTGTGTTGATCGATGGGGGGCTGTTGAACTGCCATTTACCTCCTTAAGTGCAGGTGTGTGTGAGTGACCAGCCTTCTGGGCAGCTGTACTAAAATCAAGCTGAGCCAATTTTGCGTGCTCTGAACTGGAGATGACAATGCCTGTGTGTCTTTCCCATATCTCTTGAAAGTTGGACCACCTTTGTTTGAAATATTCTTGTTGGCCTACTTAATGTTAAAGGAATAGCCCAAAAATGACAATTGTCATCATCATTTACACATCCTCATGTCGTTCCGAAACTGTATGACTTAATAACCAAACAGTTTTGGTTCCCATTGATTTTTTTTATTTTATTTTTTGTAGTTGTATGAACAAAATATACAATGGAAGTCGATGCTCACTTTTGTTACCAACTTTCTTCAAAATATCATCTTTTATGTTCCACAGAATAAAGAAAGCTTGGAAGGACATGATGTTGAGTAAACAATGACAGAATTGTCATTTTTGAATGCACTTTCCATTTAATGATGATGCGTTCTGCAGATACAACATTCTCACACTTTGTAATGTTGTTTCTAATGTTAAAACACATCTGTGGTGGTTACACCTAAAACAGCAAGGTAATAATAGACTACTTTAAACTACAATACATTGCATGTTAATTGCGATTTGTGTTACATTCAGCTCGCCCTGAAGTATTTTTTAAGTATGTTATTTCTGTAATAAGTAGCCTACTCCTTTAAAAAAAAAAAAAGTATGCTAAAGTGTACTTCCTTTCCACAAGGGTAAATACAACGACTTGCATTCATTTGTGAAATTATAACATTTCTCTACTTTCTAAGCAAACAATTTGTTAGAAGATGATGCAAAATATTTTTTTCCACAGAGGTATCATGTTTTTGAACCCCACTGTTTGCCTGTGTGAAACTGCATCTGTTTTTCCTTTTAATTTGGTGTAAAATTAATAATCTGACAGACAAAAATGACCATTTAATCCCGTGTTACGTCATATTGGTACCTTCACATACTTGAACTATGTTGGTTACAACGTGATCTCTCTGTTTATGGTCGTGTCCTATTATCTAAAGCAGAAGGCTTATCTCGATTTGTCTATCCCTCCCTATCTCTGTATGTTAAAGATTCTTATTGTAAAGATATCAATCATTTGTTTTATTCTTTTATTTGGAAAAACAAATCCCAAAGACTTAAGAAAAGGGTTCTTACTAATAAGAAAGCTGAAGGGGGTTTGGAAATACTTTATTTTGAAGATGTTAATAGAACTTTTAAAGTCAGTTGGATTAAAAAATGTTTGATTAATCGTAACTCCCTTTGGAACCACATCCCACATAGTAACCAAATAGGTGGCTTAGAATTTCTGTTAACTTGTGACTTTAATATTTCTAAACTCCCTCTTAAATTGTCCAAATTCCACCAGCGAGTGCTTTTAGCCTGGAAAATTTGCTACTCACACAATTTCTCTCCTCACTCCTCCTTCATTTGGAATAATGCCAATATAACGACTGCCAATAAATCTTTAGTTTTAAGGTATTGGTTTAACAGGGATATTAATCATCTTATGACTATGTTTGATAATTATGGGAATCTTTTAACTTATGAACAATTCATGCGAATCCACAGTTTCCCTGTGCATTTTAAGGAATTAAATTTGGTCATTAAAGCTATTCCTCCTACTCGTGTTCATCTTGTTAAAAGTCATATTCACTATAACTCTACAATAATGACAAAACCAAAATTAATTTTAAACCGTCTTGAACTGATTGATGATAAATGCAATAACAAACATATTTGTACTGTTTTCCAAAGACAAAATAAAATAACACCTAGAGGAAAATTCTATTATTGATCATATTAATTGGAAGACTGCTTGGTTAATTCCCTTTAAATATTGTATCAATAACAAAACTAAAGAAATACATTTTAAAATGTTGCGTACCATCTACCCTGTTAAATCAATAATTTCAAGATACTCTGATATTGATGATTTATGCTCCTTTTGTAAAAATGAGAAAGGTGTTATCACATTTAATTTTTGACTGTAAAATTACCCAAAACTTATTTTTAATCTAGTAAAGGATAAATACTGTTTTTCTTTAAATTATATTATTGTGTACTATGAAAACAATGTTAACAAAGGTCTTGCATACATTGTTAATTTATTCATATTGCTGGCAAAATTTTATATACATAAACAAAAATGCTTAAATTCATCCCCAATATTTAAGGTATTTTTAGTGGAATTTGATTGTTTTATATCTTCTGTGAAATTGTTAAAAATCAAGAAGTTATTAACATGTTTAAAATATTATGACATTATTTTCAGTTCCCGTTACTAATTAATGTCACACTTTGTATAGCACTGACTGTCTTATGCTATGCTCTGTTTGTTATTTGTTCTATTTTCATTAATAATAACAAAAATAAAAACTATGCTGCTCTAATTTCATAACAATCGTCTTCGTGTGCGTATGATATAAGTGTGCGAGGCTGTCACAGGGCTACTCGGCGCGAGCTCGCAGACTGAACGGAATCTGACATCTGTACAACCCTCGCTCTAATCGCGTTTAACGCTTTTATCTCCGGCTGAAAAGTCTTCCGGTGTACGGCTCTCTGTCAGTTGCGCGAGTGATGAGAGGCGCCGTGCGCTCGGTGAGGAGGGGCATCTCGTGTCCGACGCTAGACTCGAACTGCACGCGCATCGTGGAGAGCCTCTCCTCGTGGAACAGCTCCGTGATGAGCGCGTACAGGCTGCTGGATTTACCCCCCACGACCACATCTGTGAGTCAAACGTGATTCTCCAAGCTATTTCTTTCAGTCTTTCTCATCTTTTCTTGTGTAGATGATTAGGTGCAAGTGAAAATATTTGGCCAAATGCTTAAATTGTATCTTGCTGTGTAAAGAGATTTGTACATGATCAACATTGCAATGTACAGATGCTGGATACCTTTATGTTGTGGTTTTGACTAGACCGAACTAATAGCTTAGTTAATAGATACTAATAGACCAAACATGTATGCAATGTAAGGATGCATAAAAAGTTCAACTCTGCATAATTATGGTGATCTATGCAAAAGCGGGGCAGGTATTGAGAGATTTTTGAGGGAGAATCCTCAGCCTTTGGGATTTTTCTTCTTCTTCTTGATGCTACATCCAAAAAATGTTTTTATGTTTCTGTGTCATTTAAACTATTTAAGCTCTTCAACTTTTTTCAGGTGAAGTGGGAGTACGTGGATAGAGATTTTAAGTTTAAATACTACAGTGATGAAATGTATTTATTATGCAAATGTGTTCTGGGGGGAAATCTGTCACACCAGTGTGAGTTTAACCTGGCTGGTTTGTCACTGGTCTAAAGTGTTGTTGTTGTTGTTTTTTAAAGTCTACCAGTCTTAACCAGCTTGATCAAACTATTAACAGGTTGATTTAGATCCCACCATCTGGTAGTCCCTCTAATCTATCATCTATATCAGATGGACCTGCATAGTTTAGAAATAAACTATAGAAAACCAGTTTCCATCAGAAGGGAAACTGAAAAATATCCAAAGATTTAGAAATTTTACTTGCGCCTTTCCAGGAGTTAAGCTATTCTGATATAATATCTATCAAAAATCTTGTTTTATTTGTCTTAAATTCATACCTAGAGTTTAGACTGTGTCTTTATGCTACCTAGTCAGGTCAGGTGCATTGCATTTTTCTCATGTGAAGTCTCAATTCTTAAACACAGATGGCTGAAACTGTCCTTCACCGTTAATCACTTAATTTGACCATATATGGCTTGAGTCTGTGGTTTGAGCCTGAAGATGTTTTTGTGAGGTTAAGTCCTCGGGGTTTTCACTGTTGAAGGCATGTCAGAGCCACAGAGGAGTACCACTGAATTACGTATTTATGCTAATTGGACATGTCTTGGGGCTGTTTATGCTTTATTTTACATGTTGCTTGTTGATGTCTCTTTCTTTCCCATCATTAAATCAAGTGACTGCTACAGCACTGATGGGTGTCTCTGCCCACACGATACAAAGTGTGCTAGATTTGTACAAGCATTCATTTAAACCAATCAATAAATGCAGTCAAAAGTTTGAAATAAGGATTTGTGAAATTTAAAAAAAGTTAATTTTAATCAGGATAAATCTTCAACAAATGTCTTGTTCCTATCTTTAAATCAGCATGTCTTCATCAGTAAATGAGATGTGAAAACTAAGCTAAAATAAATTAGATTTGCTAAGAGAAAATGATGACAGTCATTGATTTAATAGAAACACATGATTTCAATGATTATGACTTGATGACCTAAACTGGGATTGAATGATTTTATTTTTATGTAATTCATCTACAAATTAATTCAACTCTGTTATTGGCCTAATCTCTGTTGCTACAGTGTTTTAGCACAAAATGAACGGAGGGGGGTGCTGTGTTTATATCCTGAATCTGTATTTGGGTGGAATGTGGGGGACCTTAAAAAGGGCCCCAAAGCTGTTACTGTAACGAATTACAATTTTAGCTCTCTGAAATTATTTTATGTAATTCTGAGCCTTGTTTAGGAGGATTCATTTTTGGGGCAAGTGGGACTTATTAGGTGATGAACCAAATTTGCATAAATCATACACACGCATTTGTGCTTCTGACCCGTCAGTAATAAAATGTGACCCAGAAACCCAGTGACAGCCCAGGCTGATAAGATGCACATATTTCCAAGCCACAGTGACAGATTTAAAGGGGTCATATGATGCTGCTAAAAAGAACAGTATTTTGTGTATTTGGTGTAATGAAATGTGTTTATGCGGTTTAAGGTTCAAAAAACATTATTGTTTCTCCTCTATGCCCCGCCTTTCTGAAACGTGTCGATTTTTACAAAGCTCATCGGTCTGAAAAAGTGAGGTGTGCTGTGATTGGCCAGCTATCCAGTGGATTGTGATTGGCTGAATACCTCAAGCGTGAGACGGAAATGTTACGCCCCTCACCATATTGTGATGATGCCCTGTCAGGCCGGAGCGATGATTCAAAAACATGAAAACCCATTATAAACAAGGCATTCGTTGCGTCCAGTGGGGACATAATTATGGATTATAATTACTTCTACTGTCTTTTTACGCATTGCGTTGCATCGCGCCGCGTAAACATAAAACCATGTCTGCATTTGTGATCGGAGAAATGACAAACAACAAGCCCTACTCTACACTGCCCAAAAAACTTGCTTTAAATATATAAAATATAAAAACTCTTTAAATATAAAAGACGTACTTACAGTCTTTGAGTCAGAACAGCCGGCATTGTAGTCTACTCTCCCAGGATCAGGAAACAGTCCTCCATAAAATGTGCTGCACACATCTGAATATTTGGGTTGAAGTGTTCTGGAACAGTGTTGTAAATACAACTTAACCACTGATTTCTAGTCGTGTCCATTTTTGGAAGGCCCCACAAAGTAATTTCGCTTTCACAACGAAACAGCGTCACACACGGCAGCCTACAGTGAACAGAGGCCGGGGGCTAGTGTGAGGAATGGCAGGAGGGTTAGAGTGAGCAGAGGCGGGTGGGCTTGAGAACGGCGTGGCCGGCGATTTCGACGAAGGAGCGTCCGGAAGGACATGTGACGACTCCGGGCTGGACTCCGCTTCGTCCATGGTGAAA